CGAAAATGGAGCCTTTGGGAGGACAGTGGGGAGCCCTCCCCCGCAGTCCTCCCAAAGTCCCCACTGATCAGCTGGGGGAAATGGGGCCTTCAGGAGGACAGTGGGGGATGGCTTCCCCCCATCATTCCAAAGCCGGCATTTTCGCCCAGCTGATCAGCAGGGCTTCGGGAGGCAACACAGCGCTTCCCCTCCCGATCATCTCGAAGCCCCACCGATCAGCTGGGCAAAAATGGGGCATTTGCGATGATATCTTCCCGCAATCATCGCAAAGCGATTTCCCCCCATAGGGAATATTGCAATGCGATCGCAAAAGCGATTGCAAAATCCTCATCGGGGCGCCCGTTAAGGGAGGCACCACTGTTAAATGTAAAGCACCTGCTTGCTTCCCCTCCCGATCATCCCGAAGCCCCACCGATCAGCTGGGCAAAAATGGGGCATTTGCGATGATATCTTCCCGCAATCATCGCAAAGCGATTTCCCCCCATAGGGAATATTGCAATGCGATCGCAAAAGCGATTGCAAAATCCTCATCGGGGCGCCCGTTAAGGGAGGCACCACTGTTAAATGTAAAGCACCTGCTATTTCTTAGTTTGGTCTACGGTTTTCTTACTTGATGGAAGGGAGAAGCAAGTTTACCAGTCAGAAACTACTTGAACAAAATATTCTATCAACTTTTACTTCTAACAAAACAACTAATGGGCTTTCTAAAAAGATTTTTAAAATCTTTTTAGAAAAGAGCTTGGAATCTTCCTACTATTCACCCTCTGACTGAGGCCCTCCTCTCTTCTCAACCTCCAAATTGCGGTACTTTTGGGTGACACACTGAAAAACAAATGCCCTTCCCCTTCTAAGTTGGCAACTGTTCGTTGTGTTTTCATAGAATATTTGAAGCTGCTGGTTGATAGGCTTTACTTTCATCTGTTCAGATATGCTCAAACTGCCAGTTTTACAAGTGAAGGGAAGCAGGGAGTGTTCCCTGCAGAAATGGAAATACAGCATGTTTTGTTGCACATGTTTCCAACACAGATAGGTAATTTGGTATGTGGTGAGTACTTCTAACAAATGTGTCTGGCTCATAGATGTTGGGTTGTGTCTGTTACTTGGGGGGGGGGAAACTTCAGCCACACTCATTGTATATCTGGCAAACTTCATGTTGGTGCTAAGTGCACAGGAAAGTCAGATATAAACAGATGGCAAAATATTTTGTTTGTGTGAACTGCTGAGTGAAGACTGGACTATACTGCATACTGATGATGATCATAATTAGCTATTGATCATCTGTGTTTAGAATGTGTGGTATGGAGCCCTCTGGTGGACAAAACACCAAAAGAGAAGGTCTGAAAAGTGTCACACTGAGAAACAGGAGCCAGAGTGTACATTACTCAGTTCTGTATCACTCCCACTGAATTGTATGGTTTTTACTCAATGCTCAGCTGCCTGTAGTCCAGAGGACAGTAGAGAGGCACCAAACCTTATCCCTCGTCTGCAGGCATCAGGTTCATTACAGGCCATGGCATGTTGAGTTCATCCTGGAAATAAAAGGGCACCTTTGTACTAACTTCCATGTCAGCAAGTGGTTACCATTCAGTGTTTTTTTTTGGGGGGGGGATGGTAATCATGACATTGAAGAACATTTGACAGTAGGGGGGCAAGTCAGCTAATACCTTATAGAGTATATACCTTGACTGGAAATCCATGAGAAGCACAGTGTTTGTTTAGGCTCACTGGAACCTTCTCCATTATAAAAACTCTCATTATACACATGGGCATGTGAGTGCATGTGCATATGCACAATACACACACACACACACACACACACACACACACACACACACACACGCACACGGGGCATTTCACTGAGTTGTTATTTCTGTTATTGAACAATGTCAAACTTGTAGCGCAGTGTGCCCTTATGTCCAGCAGGGGGCATATGAACACTGAATGCAACAGTGAAGAAAATCACTAACAAAGACCATGAACGTATTGTATACAAGATGGTGAACTTTTGACAGTCCAGATATCTTGGGCTTCAGCTCCTAGAATCTCCAGCCTGCATAGTCAGTGATAACGGGCTATCAGAGTTGTAGTCCAAAACATCTGGAGTGCCAAAACTGCAGCAGCCCTGAGCATACCTGGCACTCACAGAACCATTGCCTTCAGATTGGTCCCTGACACTCTTGAACACAGCAGTAAGATGTGGCACAGCAGTAATCAAGAAGCTGCCCTCTTTTCTTCCAGAGAGACCCTTCTTTTTCTGGGAAACAGGGAGGGAGACTTCCTTGACATCTGCTCCCTAGCTGTATTGTCCATTTCCTTGATAAGTGATGTGTTGCTATGAGACATTATGCATAAAGTCAGTTCATACACAAACACTATTGTGTAGCTTTAAAAAAAACCCCACAGTTGTGCCTCTTCCTTACAATCTTGACCACCTATGGGCTCAGTCTTTCTGCTGTTCCTCTTAAATCCCTAAGACTCAACAGCAAGTTTTACATGTAAAGGGTAAAGGTTTCCTGTGACTTTCCTAATCCATTCTCTGGAATCTTGGGAACACATTCTTGCTTAAAGAACTTTGGAAGTGCCTTCCTCCGTTAGATGGAAGTTCACCCAGTCCAGCATTTCTTGTGAAATCCCAGCAGGGACTAGGTGATCACCAAAAACTGGCCCATGATTCATGACCTACCTCCATTCTTTCCATCTCTTCTGTTCAAAATATCAAGCCAGTTAGAAGGGAGAAGTAGACTCAATGTGCCCTCAGGATCGGAGGGAAAATCAAAATCAGTTTTAATGGGTCCATAGTTAGGTAAAACTTTTATTGATACTTAACCAGGAAGTCACAAAATACTGTAGCAAGTTAAAGGGAAGCTGGAAATTTTCTCATTGTTTTGTGACATAGTGAGTTCTCATAAAGATATTATGTTCTCATCAATATGTTATCTGAACATCTCTTCCCCAGAGATTGGGAGAGTTACTCTTTTGGACTGCAATTGCTAGAAACCCAGAGTCAGCATGATCAGCTGGCTGGGGGATTCTGGGAGTCATCCTTCAAAAATGTAACTTGCCGAGCTCTGTCAGATTTGAGTTTCTTTTCTTATACAGTGGGGTCTTGACTTGAGAACTTAATCTGTATTGGAAGGCGGTTCTCAAGTCAAAAAGTTCTCAGGTCAAATCTGCATTTCCTATAGGAATGCATTGAAGACCATTTGATCCGTATCTGCTCTTTTCCGTCCATAGAAACTAACGGGAAGCTGCTATTCCGCCTTCAACCACTAGAGGGGGATATTTTGTCTCTTTTTTTCTTAGGTCTAGAAAGGTTCAGGGAAGGCAGGGAAAATACGTACAGTCCAGGCAGTACAGTACCAGGCGGTCTGAAGACTGTCTCCCAATCCACTCTCTAAACGCTGGGAGGAGTGAGGAAGCAGACAGGCACCGTTTTCACTGGCCAACAGTTAACTGAAAGTTCACATTTTGCACTTTCCCTGCCTCCCACGTGGGTTTTTTCAGTTCTTAACTCAAATCTAAGTATGTAAGTCAAGTCAATATTTTCCTATGAGAGCGGTTCTTAAGTCAAAATGTTCTTAACTCGAGCCGTTCTTAAGTCAAGACCCCACTGTAGAGGGAGCCTCATGACTTCCTCTGGTGTCAGTGGGAGCTTTTTCCTCCTAAGGCGAATTGCTCTTTATGTGTGGCATTTTTAATAGGATTGAGTCTGGTGCTGGTGACAGTCCATACCCTGAGACTGTTACTTTTTTTAAAACTGACAACTTGATAGAATGTCCGTGGATTTGTCATTAAAGTAGGCCATTACTAGAAAAATATCCATTGAGTGGGTTTAATCAGTAACTAGGTAGTCACATATTTTTCTTTACCAGGACTGTAGGAGAAATTTAGCCTTACTACTATGAGATATTGGGGAAAAAAGAAGGCCTTGGTTTAGTGATAATAGGCTGCATTGAATGTGATGGAATACGCCAAGATTTGCTTTCTTCATCATACCGAGGGTCTCAACCAGTAAAGCAAAGGGGCAAGGAGACAACAAGGTCCTGGACCAGTTTCATTACAGCCCTGATCTCCACGGGTGGCCTTGTGGTTCTCAGTCATAGCCAGCAACGTGTCTGTGAATAATTAAATGACTTACCTTAGCTTGGAGGGTTCCTGCAGGGATTGCTGCATTAATGTAGTGGCTCCCAACCTTGGGTCCTCAGAGGTTCTTGGACTAAAGTTCCCAGAAGCCTTCACTACTAGCTGTCCTGGCCAGGATTTCTGGGAGTTGCAGTTCAAAAACATCTGGGGACTCAAGGGTGGGAACCACTGGGTTAATGTATTAAATTGAATCAAATATTTGACACACCATAGAAGATTGTGTATCTTTAAGAAAGCAATTTAAGCATATGCCCAATCCTCTGCAACAGGGCTGTGGAAAGTGTGTTCTTTCAGATGTTGCTGGACTGCAAGGCAGCTTCAACTAACACAAGAAGAGTGCTGGAAATTGCAGTCCAACAACATGTGAAGAGCCCATTTTGCCCATCTCACTCTGCGACTGAAAGACGGATTGTATTCTAGGCATTTTAAAGCTTACGTGTTAAGATTTTGTGTTTGTTTTTTTAGTTGGGAAGGCACCGAAATATTATACATTTTTATTTTTATAAATATTATAAATGTTACATATATTTATAAGTATCATAAATATTTTTAAATGTGAAATTTAAATGTGAATTTCGTTGTATGGGTATACTGTGTATATACTTACAATGACAATAAATTATATTATTATTATTAAATTTATAAATAAGGTGGAATTTCCTGGAGTTGCCTGCATTGTTTTTTCTGCCTTTGGGAGTTAGTTAAGTCTTCTCCTTGTCCTGTTCTCTTCTCAGGAAAGGGAAGTCAAAACCGAAAGAGGGGAAACAGGTTGTTATCATGAGTGATTCATATTGTCTGTCCATTTATTTCCACGCCTCTTGCACTTACTTGACGTCATAATAATTTTGCCCTTCTAGCTAATTGACACAATTGCTTCAGAGATCGGAGAACTGAAACAAGAAATGGTACAAACAGATCTGGTGCTGGAAGATGGACTCTCCAAGTTACAAAGGTGAATTACAGTTGTTCATGTTAGCACTAGGTAGCGTTGTATGCTAAATGTTTTGGGGGTGGGGGTGCTGTGTTAGCTGCGACAATGTTCCTTACTAGTACTACCATGTTGATTGGTTTTTAGTTTGAGAGTTGTGAAGTAATGTTCCTTCCTTTGAAAAAATGTTAAGGCCGTTTGTGCTTGTGTAAAATTGCGTGTGTGTGTGTGATTTCCATTTCCTTGTGTGTGTGTGTGTGTGTGTGTGTGTGTGTGTGTGCACTCCCAGCTTCCTATAAGAATGAAGGATTCCTAAAATATAGCTGCCTAATGAAAAAAAGTATTTCTAACAACATGTGAAATATGTAGGTACAGAATGCAGAAATTAATTGAGGTTGTGGATTTTGTTACTGAAGGATTTCAACTTAAGCATGGTACTAAACTATGAAACTTGAGGAAGCAAACAGTGTTCAGTTTATTAAATATACTGAAGACAGTGAAGAATGGCATATTATTTTGTTGTAGATGGGGCTGGGGGACCCACAATAAGTATAATTTATTTTCAGTTTAAGCCAGCACTGCAATATAATTTCTGCTTAAGTGCTGGTGATTTCAGATTGTACTGTAAGATTTTACTGCCTTGAAAAAATAGTTTTAAAGATCTCAACTTGAAGTATACCCATTTTATTTTGTTATAACTTCTCCTAATGTTCATATGTATCTCTCCATGTCTTAAGATAATTTATTCAGCCTTGTCTACTGATCTTTCATCAACATCAGTCAGGATGGTAGATAGTAGAGATAGGGCATTTTCAGTGGTAGTTTCTACTCAGAACTTCTTCCCAGGAGCTGTCAATACCTTTGGCTATCTAGGTCTGGGTGCTCTTAAGGAGGTTTCAAAACCTCATCAACTTTTCCTGGCTTTTCATTGTAAACACGTATGACATGTCCTATTCGCATGTCCTTTTTTAAAAAGTATTTTTTAAAAATTAGGTTTTAAAAATAATTGTTTAGATTTTCTCAATGTTTCCATTTTTGTTGTTGTTTCATAGGTCAAAGAGTGCTATAGTCTTGACAATGAATTATATTTTTTTAAAAAAACACTTTTCCAAGCAGGTATCCTCCGGTTCTTATGATGCCTCAAAATGATTTGCTATTTTGATATGCTTGGTGAAAGTTGCAGTCCAAAACATCGGGAGGGAGGGAGGTAATCAGATCAGAGAAGGTTGAAATAATATAAAGCTTTTTTATTAATTCACTTTAGCCTCCTCAGCTGTCACAAATATAAATGGATACATGTTAGTTCTATAACTAAAATGGGTTTGAAGTTCACATTACAAGCAATTTTGCTAAAATGTTACCTGTTGATTGTCAGATTTTCAATATTGTGAGAGCTTAGGAAAATGTGAATGTAAGAGCATTCACAGATGAAGATACACAGAGGTACACAGTCTTATAATGATACTGTACCTCTAATAATTCCTGCTTTGTTGCCCCCCTTTACATATTAGTGAGGGTTCTTTTGCACCTTTTGTCCTCTGTATTCACACACTCTACAGCTATTTGCCCTGCAGTGCCCTACAATGGGAAGTACAAACCTGAGATTTCAGGGTTAGCCACATGTTTTTATATTTCTCATTTATACACAGACAAAAGGGCAGGGAGCCTAATTTTAATATGAAAAGGTAGTGTGCTGGCTGGGAAGGCCTCGAACTTTCTCATTCATTGTCATGCTCTTTTGTTTCAGTGGCTTTTTCTGTCAGATAGGAAGTGAACTAGCATGACAGAAAAGTTAGGGACTGTTTCTTCTTGTTAAAATTAAAATGCTGGGTGGAATGTGCTGGGGTATACCTGTATAACAGGAATGGTGTCATTAATAGCCATAGATTGCTACAGATTAAGATTGCTACTGTGATTTTGGGGTGCACATAGCATGCACACAATGCAGTGAAGTTAGATGCACCCCAAAATTGCAAAGGAAGACTTTAATTAGTGGTAATTGTCCTGCTGTTGCTCACATCACTCCCAACGTGTAGGCAGCCCCTGCTCAACACAATTGCATCCATAACTGATATGGACTTACTGTTAATTCATTCTCATTTATGGACTTCGGCATCAAGATAAAGAGAAATCTTTCCAGAGATATAAAAGATGGGGCCGAATCTTCAATAACCAAATCTGTTTCATGTTATTGATCATTGACAATACATTAAGAGTAGACTATCTGTGTAGATGGGCGGGATATAAATCTAAATAAATAAATAAATAAAATGAAGAAAGAAAGAAAGAAAGAAAGAAAGAAAGAAAGAAAGAAAGAAAGAAAGAAAGAAAGCACCCCAAAATCCCTCATATTTGGGCAGAAAAAGGAATTCCAAAAGATAAAATCATTTCTTTCTCTTGGCAACTGCAGTTCATTGGAGGGAAATTAAAAGTGGAGAGAGACTCAAAGTTGCTATATACAGTGGTGCCTTGCTAGACGATTGCCTCGCAGGACCAAAAATCCGCAAGACAGTTCTTTTTGCGATCACTATGGTACCTCGCAAGACTTTTTTTTCCTATGACTGTGCTTCGCAAGAGGTTTTTATTTATTTATTTATTTTTTGAGACCGATGCTTCACAAGATTTTTTTTTTTAGACCGATGCTTCGCAAGACTTCTTTTCTTTTCTTTTTTTTGAGACCAATGCATAGGGAACCTCCCAAAACGATTTTTTCACAAGACAATGATTTTCGCAGAATGAATTAAAATCGTCTTGCGAGGCACCACTGTATTACAATAAACTGGAAAGTACAGAAACATGGGAGAAGAATGTGCTGAACCCTTTCCCAGTGGCTAGTCTGCAAGAGGAAATAAGAATCTTGATTCTGCGGAAGAGTGGCTTAGCCATGAGTAATGAATGTATGAGTAATGAATACACAAGCACTGTTATGTCGTACAATTTTGCCTCTGGGTCATAGGGAAATATCTATCATATTTTCCTTAGTTGCAATTTATTTTATCAAAAGCATAGATAAGCACTGCAACTGAGGAATTCATGTGTCTGCTTCGTGGCAAGTTGCATTTTCTGACAGAATTGCAAGGGTGCCAATATTTTTGGCCATGACTGTAGATTATTTGAGAAGCAGATAAGAGGTGTTTTTTTGGGGGGGCGTGGGGACCTTTTCCTTTTGCCAATCTATGACATCATCACTCTTTCACAGTTGTAACTTGCACCACAGGATTTTGACACAAAAACATTTTGCTCTTGCTTTATATTATGTGTTCAAAAGTTTCTGATAGTTTCTGTAATAATTTAAATTCAAACTTTCAATGCCTGTTCTTGTTTCTCTTATTTATAGCCTAGAGAAAGATACAGGTGATGTGCGTCCAGATCAAAAAGATTTTAGAAATATCATTCGAGATTCTGGATATGACAGCCTGCCGAATAAACTCAGCATACTAGATAAGCTTCTTCATACTCACCCTATCTGGTTACAGCTTGGCCTGAGTGATGCAGAAGCAGTGGAAGTTCTACAGTCACAACCCTCTGGAGTAAGAAAGACCTCTTGTTTAACCTTTAAAACAGTAGCAATACATATTTGGGATATTTCTACTTGATGGTTGCCCAGAATTGCTTCAGTTTCAAACATGGTGAAAGAATGTGTCACACATTCAAATATATCAGAAGTGGCATAAGAATCCTTTTTGCAAGATGTGTTTGTATGTTTCTCCTTATTAGCAGGATGCAGGAAAGAAGAGAGAGAACTTCTTGATCATCAGTAGTTGTGACTATCCTTGTCCATGAGTTCTGATGTTCCCTTGTGTTGCACATTTATGGCAGACAATTGGTCATCAAGCCTGATCGTATCTATTTAGACCAGCAATGTATGTCTGTGGAAGGGATTTTAACTGGTGTCTGAACCTGAGAATCTCTGTAGAAGTGTGCTCTGCCTCTGAGCCCTGCTTCACAGAGGAAGAGGACAGTTCTGTCCGCAGCGATTGCTGTGGCTATATATTATGCCACAGTCACATGGGATACCACAGGCAAGATGTGGCTGTCACAGAATGTACATGTGAGTCAAAAGGGCCAGTGTTAATGTGCAGCAGAAACACTGGCCCAGTAAAATTCTTTGTTTTAAACTCATGCCTACATTTCAGAAGGATGACTAAGCAGAAGGTGACGATAGAATTTGGAACAATGCTAATAAACTAGAGTGGTGCCTCGCTTAACGAGCGCACCGTACAACGAAGAATCCGTATAGCGATCCCTTTTTGGGGATCGCTATACGGAGCTGCCCCAATCGCCGCACTCGCTTTGCGACGATTGGGGCGTCCGGCGGCCATTTTGGAGCCACCGATCAGCTGATCGGCGGCTCCAAAATGGGCGCCGGATGACCCGAAATGGCCCCGCGCTGTGTTTTCGCGCCCTCGGCAAGCGAGGGGAGGGCGCGAAAATGGCTGCCCGGGGCCAGGAAACTTCTCTAAGTGGGAAGTTTAGGGCCGATTTGGAACGCATTAAATGAAGTTTAATGCGTTCCAATGGCTTTTTACTTCCCGCTTAGCGAAGATTTCCTGCCCCGTACAGCGATGTTTTCGCATAGCGAAGGTTAATCCGGAACGGATTAACCTCGCTATACGGGGCACCACTGTACTTAAATTCTGATTACCTTATCCAAGGAAGTGATAGATTTATAAATGACTGGTTTGTCTGTTAGATGTTCTGTGTGACTGCTAAAATAGAGGACAAAATGGATATTTCTTTAAAATATATCTATTTACGCCCTTGCTTTTTCTTTCTTTCTTTTTTTTTTCCTGGTCATCTTTATTTGAATAGACCTTCCTTGTTAGGAAATCCACAAAAATGCAAAAGAAAGTCATATCCCTACGACTACCAAATGAATGTGGATTGTGCCTGAAAGAGTTTGCAATAAAAGAAAGCACATATAGTAAGTAGAGTGTTATTATATTTATCTTTTGCTAGCTGCACTGTCACAGCTAGAAAAATACCTTTACAGAGTGACTGCCATTTCTCATGTGTCAGTCATACAGTAATATTCTCTGGGTGATCACAGCCCAAATTTACCAGCAGCCCAAGGGCTACAGTTCTAAGGGGGCAGAACTAAAAGTCCTAATTGGTATATTTATTAATATATTTTTTAAAAAAATATAAAGCAGTGGTCATGTTCTCTAAAGGTTGCTACAGTAGGTGTTGACTGAATAGCAGATGTAACTAGAATGTACTTTGAACATGAAAAAAGCCCTCTTGGACCCACGTATGACTGAAGAATGTAATTTAATTTTTTTAAATTGCACGGTCCTTGGGGCCCAGGAGATGTTGGGGATCCCCTCAAAACATGGCAGAATTACTCTCTCTACCCCCAAAGGGTACAAAGGTATTTTTGAGCATTTTTATTTTAATTTGAGAGGTTTAGGGGGCACAAAAATGACCCTTGGGCCTGTGTGTCTCCCATCCGTGCTCTAAACACAGCAAGATTGATTTGCATTGAATTAAAGTGCTTAGGCTTTTTATTTTGCAGGTTGCCAGAACAGTATCTCTTCTCGTAAACCCTGCTTAATTTTTTTTAGGGTTTGTAAAATTGTGAAACTTTTGCATGCAGAATTTTTTGGGGGGTATGCCAAAAATCTATTATTGTTCATTAGAGAATATGTGTATAAAATGTGGTTCATTCCTGTGACTCTGAATGAGTTTCTGGGGTCTATGATACAAGGATAAAGAATTTTAGCAGAATAAATCGTATTTGCTGATATGTGCCATCCTGAAGTTGTGAAACAGGGGCAATTGCTGTTGTGCAATACAGCTTTTGTGATCCATTTAAGTAAACTTCAGGACATTGATCAAGCATTAGCCTATTGCCACAGAAAGTTCACACTGACTTTCCAGGCGGTTGGCTTAGGTCACATTTTTAGTACAAATGATCATTTTTGTGCTGCAGATTCAGTATTGCATAGAAGGTGTGTTTAACAATATTTATTGAGCAACTGAGTTTCTTTTACTTTTCAGCCTTTTCCTTGGAAGGCTCTGGAATAAGTTTTGCTGATTTGTTCAGGCTTATAGCTTTCTACTGTATTAGCAGGTAAGGGATGATACATCTTAGATTAGTTCTAAACTGAAATTGTGACTGACTTTACAATTAAAATTTCTGGATTCAAATGTTAAGGCTCTTGCCTATGGAAAGGGTGATAGGGCACAGAGAGAGATTACTTCGTTTGGCTTTATTAGGCTGCCTGGGTGCCACGTTCGTTCATCTCTTCTCCTTCCCAAAGCAGATCCCGTCATAGATGACACCACCCATTTTTGTAAAAAAAGTGAATATGGAATTTACCTATTTTTCTTTTCTTTCTGGCATTGCTTTTATATTGTGTCTATTGAATTGTAATCATTCAGACATTTTCATGCTTATTTTAGTCCTTGAACAGCACTTTATTTTTTACACATTTAAAGGCCTTCCACTCTTCCATTTAAACACATATAGATTTATTTATTTATTTATTTATTTATTTATTTATTTATTTATTTATTTATTTATTTATTTATTTATTTATTTATTTATTTATTTATTTTATTAGATTT